AACAACGGCAGCTTCGCTCACGTGCGCTGTGTGCTAGTTAACGAGCAGTGCGGAGAGCTAGCATTAGCGGTGGGCCTCGTCATCGGGGTTCTGATCATCCTGACCACCTTCACCTGCCTATTCAAGCTGATGAAGAACAGAGATGCCTCGTCTTCACGTCCGTTCGCCCGCTTGGAGTTAGAGGACGACGCTGATGACGAGCCGCTGCTTGAATGAAGTGTGTTATTAGACGCAGGTACTGTGTTGGATGGAGGGATTTGACTTGATTCAAACGCATGCAGGATACGTTAAAGGAATAGTTTATCGACTTCATTTTCAATTTCAGGTGAACTGTTCCTTTAAACGCTGAAATGGTGCAGAGATGACAATCATACTGAAACTGTAAGGGAGAAATTGAGCTATTGTTAAGCCAGTAACATACACTGAAGGCACAATAATGATAATGAGTCATCGTTAGTACTAAACAACATGACAAAACATGTCCTCAACATTATCAGCAGCTGTTGAGAAATTTGTTCTTAAAGGGATAGTTCACCCAAAAATGAAAATTCTGACAAAGCTCATGTTGTTCCAAACCGGTTCCAAGAATTTCTTTCTTCTGTTAAACATGAAAGAAGGTATTTTGAAGAATGGGTAATCAAACATTTGCCAGTCACCATTGACTCCCATAGTATGGAAAAAATACTTTGGAAGTCAATGGCTAACAGCAACTGTTTGGCAACCAACATTCTTCAAAATATTTTCTTTTATGTTTAACAGAAGAAAGAAAGTCTTGGAACCGGTTTGGAACAACTTGAGTTTGAGTAAATGAAGAAAGAATTTGTATTTTTAGGTGAACTATCCCTGTATGAGTTCCCTGGTATGGAATTTCTACTACAGAATAAAAAAAAAAAGTTTATATCTCACAATTGTTTTTCTCCTCAGAATTAAAGTTCATTTTGACATATCTTGTAATTCTCCAAATAAACTCCGAATTGTGTAATAAACTAGTTTTGAGAGAAAAAAAAGTCAGAATTGCAGGTTATAAACTTGTAATTGCGAGGAAAAGTCAAGCTTGTCATGGAATAAAAAATACAAAAAAGGGTAAATGCGATGCGAGTTTATATCTCACAATTGTTTTCCCCCTCAGAATAGTGAGATAAAAAACTCGAGCTTGTTTTTGCCAAGGAATAAAAATTAAAGGTAATCGCGACTTTATATCTTGTAATTCAGATTTTTTTCCCCCCTTAATATTTCATGATATAAACTCAGAATTGTGAGCGAGAAACTCATTTTGAGAAAAAAAGTCAGAATTGCAGGTTATAAACTTGTAATTGCGAGGAAAAGTCAAGCTTGTTTCTGTCATGAAATACAAAAGGGTAATTGTGACTATCTCACAATTCTGAGTTTATATCTTGCAATTACAAGTTTATGTCTTACAATTCAGACTTTTTTCTCAGAATAGTGGCAAAAAAGTCAGAATTGTAAGAAGTCTTAATTACTTTTTTTTTCATGGCGGAAATACGTTTCCATACTCTGGGCAACAACAACATGTACGAAAAAAAGCTACAAATATTTTGATTGTTAGATAATTTCCTGAATAGTCTCACACGCACAAGCATGCTCTCTTCGTGTTTAACAGATTTCAGAATGATTAAATCATGCTACTTCCAGTAATGCTTTTTAGCATTATCATATGCATATAAATATTGCTTTATATCTATGCATACTCTATGTTAGCAGTCAGGTTACTGAGGTACACCATGCTTCATGCTCTTAAACTGCTGTGTTTCATCGAAAGTCTAAGTAGGTCTTAGAATGCATTGAAACAATGATTTCTACTTAGGTTTGCAATGCTTTTGGGAAATGCAGAACAAAAAAAAGTGCAGAACGTAAGCAATAATAATTATTACTAGCTTCTTTTCAGTGAAGAAACGGGATACTGAGGTTACTTGAAAATGCCCGTACTGATTTTGCTTGTAGTGAAACTTTATTTATGAAGTCAAATACACAACCAGTTAAATCTGAATATTTATTTATTTTTCTATAAGTTGCTTAGTCTTTGTTTCTTTGCAGAAAAGGCGTATTTAGATTGAATGCAACTAAAGGAATGTTTCTTCTTGAATCCCTACTGAGGAATATTTCTGTAGGGTTTATGAGGGCTTTGTACCTGAATGTTTCTTGTATAGTAGAATGAAGTAGATGAGTGTTGACTGTTTTTTGGAGATTTTTGTAAGTGTAAATACACCGTAAAGCTTGTGTTTTTGCTTATTGCACTGTAATCTGTAGGTTCAGATTTGAGGGAAGGAAACATGTTGCTGCTTTTAAAATGAGGAATTTTTATTCATGCTTTAAAATGTTTGTATAACAGGGATGTTATTTTTCTATTTAAAGGGGTCATTGGATGCTACATGCACTTTTACAAGTTGTTTGAAATTTGAACTGAAATGTGTGTTGGCAGTGCGTGTACACACCCCCCCTATAATGATAAAAATCCACACAGTGTTTCGAGCCGATCTCAGATGCCTGTCTGTGTGACGTCACAAAAGCAGGCCCCTCCCACGATAGTTTGAGTGACAGTAGTGTTTCAGCACAGACTGGACTGGTGTCTTACCTTAGCTCCGCCCTGAGTGAGCTGTCATCAGTCCGAGCAGAGCTCATTAACATTTAAAAGAAAATGCTACAAAACGGCTTGCTCTGTTTTTGACATGGGTAAAAAAAAAAAGTGTTTTTAACACTACCATTGAGAAATTTGAACCAAACTATGTTACAGACTTTTCTTTAAGACCCTAAAGCAGTGGTGCTCAACCTTTTTTTCCACCGGGCCGCACTATGGTCCAAGTGCAAGTCTCGCGGGCCGCACGCATATCATTTACATATTACGTCAGCAATACAAACCAACCTGATTTATAATATTATAGCCTAAATATTATGATATCTA